TCAAGGAAACACCTCCATTGTATGTGTAGCGGATTGCTACGCTAGTAAAGCCTGACTGACTCAGAAATCTCTATGGCAGACTCCCCAACATCTAGCTAGACTCCCAGAACCAGCTAAGCTATAGCCCAGCTATGAAAGGAAACAGACGTGTAGCACGGAGCACGTTTATTCAGTATGTATACTGCGGATGAAGTGTATACGCAGTGAGCTTAATAACGATCAGGATGGCGGATTAGGTTAAACAGAGGTTAATGATTGGCCACTCTTTGTACGGTCGCACCTTCCAATCCTGGCGTGCAGGCATGCGATGACGTGTTCCACATACGTGACATAGTGGAACAGAATGGATATGCTACCAATAAGGAAGTTGCCAATGGAGTATGAATCCGCACATGGATGAGCACTTTGCAATTCTCACCAAAAATCTTTTATTTGAGCAAGCTTACGGTAAGTGCCCAAAGCGTTGTAGGAACAGCAACAGATCCAAAGTTGAGCTTTCTTTGGTAAACTTGGCCACTACCTTTGCAATTTGAAAGGAGTGATACAACTAGAGTTTCTCGAAGGGCAGAAATCGGGAACCACCTCCACATCCTCCTTATGAACAAACCTAGCTACCTCTGAAAAAAAGCACCATAAAGGCATCAGATTTACGTCTTATGATAAAGCGAAAAGGCATATAATTTCACGGCACCAGTGTAGAAAAATGAATTACATCGCTCATTTGAATGACTAAATTAAGGAACTTGAGTGAGAACTGTTTGACTCACACTTGAACTTACAAGCTTTATTAACAGAGACCTGAAATCTGATGAAGTTCTAATCAAGCATAAGGATATAAAGAATACCAAAGAAGTGATGAAATGATCAAAAATCACACATTTTAGTGTGATTCGTTATCTATTTTTTAAAGGAAAAATTATTGTACAAAAAAGATTAAAATAAAAACAAACAAAGAGTTAATTGACCTCTTTCATGATAACTTTCTGCCCATCTGGTCCTGGGCTTGTCACGAGAGGAATGGTGCTGTTGTTATCAATTGATGTTGGATTGATGATAAAAGTGTTGGCCTCTCTTTCAGCTAGTTCTTTGTCCTGATTCTCGCGTTCCCAGAGGTATTCATCGAATTTGGAGCCAGTGAGACCAACAGCACTCGCCAGTCGTTCTCCAGCCCAATCCACAACCTGGAGAAGGCGACGCGAGAGGTCACCAAAAAACCAGTGGTTCCCATCCCCTGTCTCATCAACTTGCGATCGCTGAAGAGAACCACAAATCTGATGAAGGACATATTAACAAGGATCTGATTTTGGTCACAAAACAATTCTGCAGGCTAGGATTTTCTTTTCTACTGATTATCACTACAACAAGACACAGAGAGAGAGGATTAAACCAGAATTAGTTAAAGTACAATGATAGCTCAGAAGAAATGGAAGTCGATTAGTACTTAAAAGAGCCGACACCAGTTCAATCCTGTTACGAATCTAGAATGTGAACGAGTTGGCTTCAATTAAACCACCAGGCAACATTCATGTAATGCCATAAAACATTTAACCTTTGACTAAAACATTATATTTAGGCGTTTATTAGGAATAATAAACACTTGAATAAGTTATACTCGAATGAAGTATAAAATTTCATTAATTAACTAACTAAAACCTAAAATAAGTTTCACTTATTTCGAAAACATTCAAAATAGAATTGTTTTTATAAAAAATGGGTACCATAAAAACAATACTCACATTTGTTCTGCAATTATCGACATGAGAATCTATTGCATGATCAATAATAATTCCATCGCTACAGTGAATAATTTTTTCAGAGTGCGTCTCGTGCAAATGCTCTTCCTCCAGATCCATAATTGCCTAAAGACGACGGACTCGAAAGAACCACGGCAGACGCTATTGATTAAAATACTGAAATTGAATTCCTATAAATCTTACCATATACCCAAAGAATAACTTGTATCTAAACTCGTGTAAATATTAAAAACAAGGTGGCCGTATTATTAAAATATCAAAAGTAAAACAAAATTAGTTGTAGGGCAAATATTTAATAAAGTATAGATAAAATTGTGATTCCTATCGGAAAGCATAAGCCATTACCTCATCTGCTTAGTATAAGCCCAATTTTCCCATCAGCAAATAACAAAATTAAATTCGAAATTGATTTTACTAATTTACTCCCTTGATCACTTTTTTATAACGCAATGTTAAGGAATAATTAATAAAGTTTGAACTACCTCTGAAAATTTCAGAATCGAACATTTCTATCGAGGGAAAAAAAGAACTATATTAAGATCCTGCCTCGAAGTTAAATATTCAAAATTTATTATTATATATTTATATTTTCCGGATTTTATAAGTGAAATCATATTCGTAAACGCAAAGAATCGTGTTAAATTAAGTTATCTAATTATCATATCTGTGTTAACTTCTACATACCAACTTCAGAACATTATTTGATTCCCTTTTTCTTTATCATTAGCCTCTTTCCTAACGGATTAGTGTATCAACTCATTTGACTTCTATACAATTAAGCTCTGAATCCATTTATGCTTATTATTAGATTGATAGAGGTTGAGCCTTATATTTTTTTGTCTAAAGAGAAAAAATTTTATTCATTTTTCACCTCCTCTTCTAAGAAAATTATTAGCTATTTTGTTTTATTTTTCAATCACTTTCATATACCGAGATTATAGATCTTTGATGCTTTGATGAGATATAATATATTTATGATAATATGAACCTTTCTAGGTAAAAATTATTTAAGTTTGGACTCAATTCGTTGTCTTTGTAAATATCAATTAAAATATAAACAAAAAATTTATGCAAAAGACTCCATAGTTGATGTCAAATGATCTATTTCATGCTTAGCTTTGCTTTGGTTAGCTTTACTAACCAGATACTTGTAACTTACACATATTGATAATATGTAGCAAATATTTTATTATGAATCACTATTGGACTATTTTAGCCAATATTTAGTGATTGAAGCAGTTGGCTGGCTATACGATCTAGGATGCGAAATTCAGTGAATATTCAGATGCGAGTGTCAATAGTTTTATGCAAACGGCAATAATCAAGCCGAGTTACCTGCTACCTCTATAACAGACCATAAATTAAAGCGTAAGTTGGGTAGCCCTTGAAAGCATTCACACAAACCGACAACAACACAACAAGCATTGATTTGTTAATGCCAATTTAAAATATGTGTATTGGTAATTATTGATTTGCAAAATAAGCATTAAATTTAACCGAATATGCAGAGTTACCAAGATTGGAAAATAAAAACGCGTTAAATAATATTTCAATAATATTTTTTAAAGATAAAGTAATCCTAAATACTGTAAGACTACTGAGTTATAAAGGTTTAGTTTTAACTTAGTTCAATTAAAGAAGGACTTTATAAGCACCTGTTTTCTGTTTAAATCGTTCTTTTCGCGCTCGTTTTCTTATACTCTCATGGCATTACAAAACCTCAAGACACACGGTACTTTTTCGTTTTCTTTTTTTCATATTGCTTTAGATCCATTTGCTGACGACGACGGTGAAATTACTACTGGTGATACCACCGTCCATATTCGAATTCAACAGCGAAACGGTAGAAAAACTTTGACTACTGTTCAAGGTATTCCAGAGAAATACGATAAGAAGCGTATCCTAAAGGAATGCAAAAAGGATTTTTGCTGTAACGGAAATATTGTACAGCACGATCAGTACGGTGAAGTCCTCCAACTCCAAGGTGACCAAAGAGAACATATTGCCGAGTTCCTCAGGAGGTACGGTCTTGTCAAACCTGACCAAATTAAAATTCACGGCTTTTAATGTGCTACGCCTATTCGGTGTTTGCCTCCCTGTTTAGATAAGGCTATTGTCATGTTTATCTTGCTGCAAATAAATCAACTTTTCATTTATTTACTCACGTTTCATTGTACATTTAACTCTTTCACGCTTATGCTTTATCGTACACTTCCATCCACGTGGTATTATTTTCAATTGAGTAGGTTTTGTTACTGTTCAGTCTCTAATAAGCGTTTCAAATGAAAGGCGGTTTCTATTTAACCTTTTATTTCCATTAAAAGACAATCATTTGTGCAAAATCACAGGTTCGTATAAAAATATTTGTCGAGGATTTCAAGTTGATTCGAATGGCGCTGATTTTTGTGTGGCTTAGTTGATTAGCGTTTTCAGGAAGAAGCGGTTTCTCCTTTAATGTGAAGCGTAGGCACTACAATGCGAAATACAAATATTTCGTTCTTATCAAGAAATAGGCTTCATTATTCCTTACTTTGTTGTCCAATTTGTTCGGCCGCTTAGTGATTTTCATATGTCAAGCAGGGCAAATTAGGCATTTTTTTACTTTGAATGGATACGCTTGCATACTTTTGTATGAGTTCAAAGGAATTCAAGTACCTTATGTTGAATTATGTTAAGTCTAATTTTTTTACCATTGCACATTTTTTTAAATCCAGTGAAATTGTCGGCTTCAATGGTCTTTTCGGAATGCATTTTCAAAGCCCCTGTTGTAAATAATCGTGAAGTTTTGTGCTCTTTATAGCCAGTTTATCTGCATTAAGTGTGGCCCGCTAGGCAGCGTGATTTTAGCGCAATTGGCGTTCTGAAACTATTCTTCCCACCAATTACCTACTAAAATGCACGATTTTATAGATTGAAGATGGCCTTACTTGGCTCTGTTGATGAGTTGAGCGTAGAGGATGGAAGCAAGGAAATTGGAGAGATGCATTACACCTATAGCAAAAGGAAAATAGAACATAAATCAGCTCCTACTGATACCTATTAAGTGTAAAGGTGGTGGGAGTGCACAAACCGATGATAGTTTTATGGCGCCAGAGAGGTGAGACGGCGGTGTGGGCGACGAAGACCACAACAGGAAGTGTGAGAAGCCAGAGGAGGTAAGCAGCTGCGAAGTGCAGAGGTTCAATCACCTCTCCCACGTTAGAAGAGCCTCGACGCTTGTAGAGCAGAGCTAGAAACCAGAAGATCACTGCGAAACGCACTGCCACTAACAGACGTCCCGGAGTTGTGTTCCACACTGATATATCCAACACTGGATCCTGGTCAAGCTAAAATAATAGGCACATCAGTTTACAACCATTGATGACCTGAATCTAATATTGAACGCACAACTTGGATAAGCAAATTGACTTATCTTACAGGATTCCGTGAATTGCTTTTGAGTTGGACTTAGTTAGATGGAGGAGGAAAATGCGGGGGCATTGGAAAGGATGTTTTTGTGTTTAAGGGGCCGAGTTGAGGTGTGCATCTCTTTATAGTCTGATGAGCAATCAATAAAAATGCCACCACCTACCAATTGTCACTGTGCAGATTTATGAATTAAAAATAGGTCTGTTAGGATGCTACATGATAAGAGTATTTCTTTTAGGTTGTCGCCATCGAGAAGTTCTATTTTGTCAAAATCTGGAAAAATTTGTGATATCAGTTTTGTGGTAATACTGGACTAAATCTGCTGTATTTTTGATCAAATCCAAAGTAAATCATAAAGGGAAAGCAGATCCCATAAATACTATGGGAAGGACGTTTATTCGGATAAAATTAGGCGTACTCCGAATTAGGAAAGAGGTCTCACGTCGAAATGCGGACGTTCGTTTTCTTAGCATATTCCCGAAATTTCTGCGGCGAAATTTTAGAACTGAGCAAGAAAGAGTGAAGTGGGGACTCCCTTTGATAACCAATCCGAATCAGAAGCCAAAGAGTTGAGTTGGATGACTAGGGGGAAGGGGAGCCGGGAATACTAAAAGAATGATTACTAGACGGGTTAGAACCCCGACTCGTGCCTGAGAACTTGTGAAAGTTAACTAATTTGATCCAACTGTATGCTCAGCTGTTTCATCGACTGGAATTGACTTCGATGCCAAGCAGACCTATCATGTGCCTACTGCATATCACGAGTAGTTGCTTGATATGAAACTACTAAGAAGCGGGACATTTTAGAGGGATGTATTTTTTAAAATGCGAAAATGGCGCTATCGCGTGATTAAAATGGACTTTAAATGGCAAAAGGCTTTGTAATCCGATTGCCGACCAAGTCACGTACAACACGCTCAAAGTGCAATTTTCGGATTGGCTAAAGAGTTGACTGATTACGTGGGTGTGTGCATGGGATACTACTTTAGTCAATATAGTAGTAAGGCATTAATCAAATATTTTTTTGCGGAGTTGAATCCTAATCTTGTCAGAAATGTAGTTATAGCAGCTGAATGAAGAAAGTAGCAAATTGTTTGCGTGTTCACAAAGTGTAGGCGCATACACAATGCAATAAACAAACACAAGAGGGTGATGTTTTTGTAAGAGCGAGGGTAAACATCACTGCGCGTCTGATGCCAACCTCGTATGCAAGTAGGGAAAATGATGCCTGATTTACAAATTACGACTTAAACCGATGTCTTTCAAAGGTCCCACTGTCTCATCTATGTCCCACTTTCTCACTAGAGATACATTTCACCTGGCAGTATTCAAATATCCCAATCACACTTGCTTTCTTTGGATTCGACAAACGGAGAACCCAATGGGTATTCCACCGCTAATTCTATCTCAATCAACTATTTAAAGGCTTTATGCGTATGACGAAAGAGACGACTCACCATAGCCCAGATGTAGAGTGCCAGTTCAATGGAGATAATAACAGTGAGCATAGAACCGAGATAGAGGAAGATGCGCATTCGACGATGTGAACATTTGAAGAGGCCAAAACAGAAGAGGAAGGGCTTATTGGCTTCCTCAGTCTCCTTGGTGGCCCCATAGACAGTGAAGGAGAGTGAGGCAACAGATGGGGAGGCGTTCATTCGAGCCGCAGTGGCGACCGCCTTTGCCACTGAGGCCTCCGTTCGGCACAATGCCGCTGACCACGTGGCTGCAGAGGGTGGCAAGTGGATCTCTTTTCCTCGGGTCCGTCCATCCACGTGAGTTGTGGTTGCGGTGTTGGTGGATTCATTGTCGCGGAAACTTGCGGCACTCATCACTCGGCGGTACTGGCGTTTGCGATACTGTCGAACCTACAACATTTATACATAACTGTGCGCGATGAATCGTCACGCTAATTAAATATCAGTAAAAGGTGGATGGAGGGGGAGAGGAGTGGTAACTCCACGCAGTCTTCGAAATGTGCGTCTTAACCCACTGTCAAACGAATTGAAACGGGTATTTGAAGTATGAAAGTGATCAGTGGTCTGCTCCAATATTTAGATTTGACCAGAGCTATCTAATCTCCTCTCAGAAGGAGTTGATCTGGTTTGTAAAGAGCTGCAAAAGTCAAGACAACGCCCAAAAAATTTATATCTTCATCTCCTGTATAGGTACCCCTCCAATTGGCCTTTAACTGGCGGATGATGCTATCCGGGCTGAACATTCTAATAAGTGCGTGAGTGCATGCAGACATCGCAACTAACTAACTACCAAACGTTTGTATTTAATAAATAAACACGCCAGGTAGATAGAGAGCACATCAGTCCACTATTTTTCGTTCGATTCCTTGTCGTTGGTCTACAAAACTCTTTGCCTTCCAGTGCTTAGTGAAATGATTAGTTGCTTCAGCGATCTGCTCTCCGGTTCATCACTTCCCACCTACGTTTCTGCCATTGTTCATAAACCTACTGCAAGTTGTGAAGTATAAACAATGTTGATCGATTTGTTTCTGATGGTTTTTTTGAATACATTTTGAGTTAAAATCACGACGTCAATTGCCTATATACATAAATTCAGATCTATATCATATCATTCACTTATATCGATCTGGACCAACGGAACATGATTGGCTGTCTGATTAGCCAATGACTAGACTTTATTTCCAGGTCGGAGTGTGGAAAATAACAAGTCGATAGACATGAAAAGTTCGTGGCTTTGCACCGACGATGTTTGTTTCAGTGCGCAGACAGTATTTTAAACGCATAAATTAAACTTTTCTAACCTACAACTAATAAAGTTACAAGATGTATTTGCACAAAGAGAGAGAGAGAGAGATGAGACCGAAAAATCCTTGGGTACATTTTTTGAGCAACCACATAAAAATCACGTTCAAACAAACGTGTGGAGGAGGCCTTGATAAGGTGACCAACTGCCTGCCAATTTGCCTAAATGAGAGTATTCTGGTGTGTGACGTGGTGTATTTGAGAGTCCATCGCATAACAGACGAGAAGGCATAGACGAATAAGGAGAACTCTGTCGTGTGTTGGGAATGATGAATGCGCCTTAGCCACCACTCACTTTGACGCCATAATTAATAGAGTCTCTCAACATCCGACACAAGAGGCCAGAAGCGTAGTTGTGCAATAAGAGCCTATTTATGTTGCCATTTAAGACAGCCAGTCCTTCAGAAGCAAGATGCAATGAACTTCAAGGACAGTAAAACAATAAGAAACGCGCGTAGTTTCGAGTGATATGCGAAACTTTCCATTTTGCTCAGTTTCACTTTTTTTCATAATCAGCTTGGAATGCTGCTCAAAGTATTTTGAGTGTAATCTGTAAGCGCGTTGAAATACTTCTATCAAATGGCAGTTATCATTAGTCCTTTAGCTGACTTCGGGCTTCACAGGGTGGAGAAACATCAAAGCGAGAACAATTCGAGAGGAGGACAGAAGAGTGCTTCATAGATGCAAAAGAGACCGATAGTCACAACGGTAGAGAAAAAATTAAGGTGAGTTTGCTAAACCAAGTGAGAACTATTGATCGGCGGTTGGTTGTGTGTTTAAACTGACAGTTGGTTTTGACAGCTTCCTGATAGGTGGAAAGTATTATTGCTTTGGTTACTTTGGCTTTTCTATCCATTACAACATCTCTCTCTCCCCCTCCCTTGTAGCATCTCAATCAAGATATGTTCTCTCCTTCGCTTACTCTTGAACTGTCAGGCGAATAAAACTGCCTCCAACTGCTTACATCCCTCTCTTCCCACCACTAAGTTGTTAAGTACAAAGAGGTATAGACGCACCTTTTGCTGGAAGTGGGAGAGTTCGGCGGGTAGGATGGGGAATCCAACGTCAGCAGTGACGAGAACGAGGATGATAAGGAGAGCATCAGAAGTCAAACCCGCGACATCTCCAACACTGAAGAGGGAACTCGCGCCCTCTCCGTCGAAGGCGAAAGCCGCCAGGTGACTGGCACGCAGCGTTGCGGCCACAAAGGAGAGCCAGATGTGGGCGAACAGAAGGCAAGCCAATGGCTCGTACTCTCCCTTGTACTTAATCTGCAATAACAAAAAAGGGGGTACGGAAAGGCCTACTCTCCTCTCACACCTCCAAAATCATTCTCTAAGCCATTGTACTGCACTTCTAGCTCCCTTCCTCCCATCTATGGAGTTAAGCCATGACTTCGGGACATGGATAGCTGTGGTAATCCATCTACTTGACCCACACAAACACTAGTTTTAAAGACACCTGATGTAAGAGCTTTACT